CCAGGAGTAGGGGTGGGCAAAGATGCTACGCCACAGAGGAACACGAGGTGATCCCGCAGACCCTCGGCCCGAAGAGGTGCATGATCGAAGAGTTGGGGGACCAGACGCCGCTCGACCAACACTTGGCCGTGGACCCCAACCTGGAGACGCCGTCCTACCACAACGCTGGGAGGGGGACACCAATGAGGTAACGGACGAGCTTGTGGCAGGGACACAGAGAATGCGAAGTACACCTGGAGAAGATGAGGATGGGAGACCACCCATCAAGCGCAGCCCAGCCGGAGCAGCAGCAGCCAAAGTACTTCGTCTGGCCACAAAGATGGACCGTGAGGCAGAGGGGACCTAACGAACAGTTCACGCGGCACCGGCTCGGAAGTTTTGTTGCACGCTTCCCTGAGGGTGTGAAACACACTCCAGTCTCTTCTAAGCACCAACCTTAGTGCAGAGCTTGGGTCAATACGGCCGACGCTTCTTTATCCGAGTACCCGCCAAGATAGACAAACAAGAGTGATCCGCCCTAGTGTGGCTGACTCGCTAATTTGCGGACCTGGGGGCACCAAACCTTTCCCCGTTACCTTAGAATGGCGTGCCACAGCGGCCAGCGTAAGGCTGGCGGGGCCGTTAATCATGGCATGTTTTTGTCGCTTCCCCGGGACACCCGCCTTTTTCAGAGGGGCACTCATTCCCTGGTACAGCCGACTCCATCGTACAGCCGAGCCCATCCTTTCAGAATGATGGATGGGGCAGCGCGCCTGCGCGGGACGGGAGGGCTGCTCCCGCCCCATGCCCTAAGCAAAGCAAAGCAAAGCAAAGAGAGAGCAAAAGAGACACGGCAAGAGACACAGAGAGCTGCAACACAAAGAGAGTGCGCATGAGGCCCGGCAGGGGAGTCGGATGCCTTGAAGCTAGCCATCAAACTCTAAATTGTGCTTCCTGCTTGGCCCTCGAACGTGCCATTGTACATGAGCTTGTTGTTGAGGCCTTCTACTCGAGTTCCCGAGCCCTTGCAGGAACCGGGAAAAGCCAACGGAGAATAGACCAGCGCCGAATGCACCAGGCACACTTACATGCGAGACGCGGTGCCTTAAGTTGAACGAAACTCAAGACCCATATCATGTCCCCAAGGTCCCAGACCCACCCACGTTTCAACTCTGCAGCCTCGTGGAAGCATCCGAAAGGAGTGCTCATCAACCCGTAGCTTCTGCACCCCTGCGGCTCGAAGTAGCTGCTTGCGGCAGCAGGGCCCGCAGCCTCCTTGTTTCCAAGGCACGTCAGGGCTCAGGCGGGCTCAGGGTTGCGCTTGGGATTTGGGTCCAGGTTGGAACTAAAGAATCGGCCTCGGATCAGGAGCGGAGTGGGATCCGTTGATGCCCGAACCCCACAACATGAGTGTGCCGTGGAATTAGTTCGGGGGGAAGAAGCGAAAAGTATGTGCGAATGACTGCCGCGTCTTTTTGTGCGACCCGTCAGGAGCACTACAGCCATTGAGAACACATGTACCTGTACCTTCGCGAGTACTCGTAGTTGCAACCCGGGCCTCCTACGAACACTCTCAACCCGAAGCTCCTGCTTTGCATGTATTCCTGTCTGCGGCCGGTTGCAGTCTTGTTTTGCCTTGGTGGTTGCAGCTCTGTAAGGTTTGCTTACTTTCAGTCGGTTTTAGGGTGGCCGGGGAATGCCGGGGACGTTTTGCGTGAGGCTTTCCCTCCTTCAAGCTCTTGAGGCCCGCGAAGGCCGGGATTGCATGGGCTTCACTGGTTAGTCTTCAGTTGTGTAGCTCGCTGAGGGCAGAAAGCGTCATCTCCCAAACCTGTAATTCTGGAGTCCTGCATCCGTCGCTCCAAGACAGTATAGCTGTCGAACCCGAGGATCCTGCAGTGCATCAACGACCTACCGTTCCAGTCGCATGAATCCTAAATCCTGGTTTCTGTAGCCCCGAACTTCAATACCACAGAGTCAAGCTCCACACTGTATGAGTGCCCTCTCTCCCAACATCCAAGGACCACGTATATAATGCTCAGATACGCTGATTGCCTCCGGAGGGTAGGGGGGAAGAGGTGAAACACTGAATGTTACACATCCCGGTGCCTGTCTGTTTCACGTATCGCTTGCATGTATCTATGCCTGTTGCTCAAGGTTCTAGCAGAACACTGATCTACAGCTGTGCGCCTGTAGGAAAAGAGACACCTGTGTTGGCCTGTTTTCCTGTACGTCTTGGGACGGGATACACGCCCAGGTTACATCTCCAGGGGGGGTGGGGAGGATGGGAGGAGAGGAGGGGGGGGAAGGGCGAGGCGCTGAGTCAACCCCCAAGTGGCCTGAGGCCTGTGGCCTCGCAGGATTAATCATACAATCTCAACCACAAAGCCCGAAAAAGCTCAACCTTTCAAAAGAAAGCAACCACCTGAAACTTATTGTTACGGATTCGCTAACGAAGTTGTTGGTATGTGCCGCAAAATCCAACATTGTGTGAACTACGGCAAGACTCTGCAGGCTAGCACGAAAGAGCATGCGCATATGTTGCATGCATGGACAGACGTAACTGAGAACAACGGAGTCAAGACGATCGGGGTCACATTATGTTGGTTCAAGTATCCAGGATCAAGGCTTGCAAAGGTTGGTCTAAGTCTGATGGCCTGGGCGTTCGCACAATACTTGAACGGCTCTTAAAGGAATTCCCGGCGTCACCTTTCTCAGAATCTAGGACACGACATTGCCATTGTTCTTGTTGCAAGTCTAAATCAAGATACGACGATCAGAATCCCCAAGAGAACCTTCCAGGACTTCACGAGGACTGCGACAAATCAGCACGAAGTACCCTATCGACCCTCGTCGAATCGGAAGCTCAACATGAAACCGCAAAGGTGGCACTCAATAGCTTCATAATCTTTGGCGCGGACTTGTTGATGTGGAGTTGTGGTGTCGCACATCGTCACACCTTCAGGGATCCAGGGCTTCTGCTCGCCTGGTTGAGCCAATCGGGAAGGAAATTTGGAACACAGCCGTTGGAAGGGGTGACACACTGCAAGTCTGATCGCCGAATCCGTGCTCGAAGCGTTCTCCAAAGGTAGGATTGTCGTGGAAGCCGCTACCCTACACTGTGAGCTGGTAGCCACAATTTCAACCTGAGGAGCTAAATCTTTACAATCGACGGAGGACTGGGTGGTTAGAATTCAGTTCTATGTGACAGGCCGAATCCGTTCCAGCCATACGATACATTCACCACACTACTTTCACAACCTTCCTTGTCTGCACCGTCGAGACAATGGAGGGCGTGGAAGGACATCGGCTTCAAGATAACGGCCATGCTGACGGTCGCGTGGAAACTTGTCAGAACTGTTCAGCCATTCTCTGGGAACTGCTGACAGCATGGCGTTTGTGTTTGAGTCATGGGAGGCCCTGCGTCACCCGACATTCTGCTAGTAGAGCAGCTTTCTCTGCCTGCACAGAAACCAGTTCGTATAGCGCTTCAGCCGTACTCTGCGGCTTCGTTGCTTCGTTGGGCTTCAGAGATCGAATCTACAATGTGCCAAAGGATTCTCACGGGACTGGAGCAAGGGAGGCTACGATTTAGAGCCCCCACTTCAAGTGACAAAACCAGGGTGCGGCTCAACCGCCAGCCCAGATCAGCTTCAGCTTCAACACAGCGCCTTCGAAGTCTGTGCCCTGAATCCCGAAGTCCCAGATCTTGTTGCTGATCAGCCACGAGCCGATGCCTGTTCGACCCCGCCCGTCCTTTCGAACCCAGTCAGAAGAGTAAACAACGAGTAGTGGCACCCACCAGTGCAAAGATAGAAAGATGACAAGATAAAAAGATGGAAAGCAAGATAGATACCTACATGGCTAGATGGCTGATAGACAGATATACAGACAGATAGATAGATAGACAGATCCATGGATGGATGGATAGATGGATAGGTAGGCAGACGATACTACTGCAAAATTACGACGTACGCTTTTTTTGGCTGTGTTTCCGGTGATCATGATGGGTATGGCGACAATGGGCAATGATGGTGACGAACGTGGTGACTGTGATGAATCTAATGTTGTTTGCAACCATCACCCATCGGATTGTTGTTATCCGTCATTATGCCGATCTTCGTCGCCATTGTCATCACCGCATTCCGGGAAAGACTGCCTTCACACTGGTCTTACCAATGCTCTTGTCAGAAATCACCCGATGTTTCTGCAGCTCATTCGAAGAGGAATCGGGACAATCAGCGTACTCCGATGGCCTCAGGATGGGATTGGCATCTGCAAGGCGCTGCGGACACAGGAAAGCAGGTTCGACAGCCTTGAGGTGAAGCTCAACAAGATCCTGAAGAGGCAAAGTCGGGCATTGTGGCTCTCATATTATATGACAAGGGCGGTTGGATTCAGGCCTGCAAGCTCCCGACCTATGACCAGATTTGCAATGTGTGCTGATAAAACTATAGCCAAAAGAATTCAGGGTCGTGAACGACTGCAGAAAAATCATTCCGAGTCCTGCTTGCAACTAGTTGGAATTATAGCATAATGCTCGGTGAGAGTATCAGGCGGCCACAGAAAGTAGAACGCTACAAGTCCTAAATAGTCCTGAACACTGTTTTGACGCCTACACCTTGTTACCTCCCCCACAGAAGACAAGAGGTATTCGCAGGCAGGTCCTTGCGTTATGCCGTTAGAAAGCTTCTTGACCAGGTGTTGATGAAGCGCGAACATCAAGCATAGGACCAAGAAAAGATCATCAGTTGTGGTCGTATTTATCAGCAGATGAGTAGTAGTAGTCGTCGTCGTCGTAGTACTCGTCGTAGTAGTAGTAGTAGTAGTAGTAGTAGCAGCAGTAGCAGTAGCAGTAGCAGTAGCAGAATCAGTAGCAGTAGCAGTAGCAGTAGCAGTAGCAGTAGCAGCAGGAGTAGTAGTACGTAGTAGTTGTAGTAGCAGCAGCAGCAGCAGCAGCAGCAGCAGCAGCAGCAGCAGCAGCAGCAGCAGCAGTAGTAGTACGTAGTAGTTGCAGTAGCAGCAGCAGCAGCAGCAGCAGCAGGAGTAGTAGTAGTAGTAGAAGTAGGAGGAG